ATACAAGGATATTTGTTGTTATGTGTTTGATAAAGTAGGCGTCATTTACATCCATGTGGGTGCGTATGCAAATACTAAACATGTGTTAAACGGAATACACCTTTAGGGCCTGCGAAGTGTCACTAAGCCCTAGTCAAATCATCCGGCAGTTGAGCCACTGGTTATCGAGCAAACCATCGATCCTCTCAAGGTCAAGGACAACCAACGCGCATCGGTTAATCGTATACCATGGATTGGCTCATGCGGCATTAGTCTTACTTTCGATTGTATCTACTTTAACTAATATATTTCTGTAATAACGCCCTCTGTGTTGTACAGTCTTCAAAGCATCTATGGTACCTCGATACGTCGGTGGGGTATTCCACGTAAGATGCTGACCATGAGGTGTGATTTCGACATTAGCTAGTTTGTCACATCATTCACGTCTAACTCGAGTAGGCCTCCAATCATTTCGATATAGATCATCTACGTTGGTGAACTACACACCCATTAAGGCATTAAATAAGAAAGATTGATTCAGCGAACTAAAATTATTTGAAATAGTTGATATTGTTTATTAAAAAGCATCAGAACGGTAAATGATGATTGGAGTCACTTAGCGTAATGTTTAACAGAAATTTAATAATATACATCCTGAACTCATTTCCGTCAGCGAGTAAATGTAGAGAGATTGACTATTTGATTGATGTTTTAATGAGGAAGCAAGATTATGGGTCATTCACTAGTAGTGTGTAAAAAACATGGCTTATCGTATTGTCCAGATCTTCGTTCGTGCCCTACGTAGAATAGACATGATATGATTATATACAAGTAGAATCAGAATGTTATGTCTGGTTGATGCCGTCCAAAAGTAACTGAAATGTATATTATAATTTGATTTCTAATAATTTAAACACATATATATTGGTACAAGGAGGTTCCAAGTACATATGAGTTACACCTCATCATTAAATTTGTGTGGGAGATGGGATGTTGTCTAGAAGCCCAAACCAAAGCAGTTGGTTGTTTTAGGAGGCCAGTCCCCGAGCCGTTGACCTGAAAGTCTCATCTACTTGGCAATGAGGCAACTTCTGGAGATGCAGTCGTATGTAAGCCGGTGGCCAAAACTAGGTTCGTACTCTATTTGATCCCTCAAGTTCCTGGAGCTAATGTGCACCAATGGTTTTATATCAGTGTCTTCCAACTTTCCTAGGTAGACCCACTGTTTCCATAAACCCGGATAAATTACAGAATATTCGCTTCTCACCCTCTCGATTTCTTTAGCAACACTCCCACCACGACAATATAATGAGTAGGACTTCCTTAGCGGTGGTTGTATTCACGTGACCATTTGAGAACATTTTGATAGGGAGAGCTGACCCTCTTCACTCTCGGCCGAACCAGGACATTTAGGGACTGGTTGAAATCGGTCATTCGAAAAGGCCTCATGTAAAAAACTGATAATTATGCTGTACCGATCCGTAGGATGTGTGGTTACCATCGTTTCTAATCTAACTGTAACAAACCCAAGAATGTACAACACGGCATGTTAAACTGTGCTACAAAAGAAACATTTTATGCACATTCTTTGTTCGTCATTTTTTTAGACGGCTAGGTAAATCAGCCATTTTGGTTTAAGTAATTTCAACGTAACCTGAAAACTAGTCTCAAATGAGTCTGTTAAAACGATATAGGACTCAAAATGAGCATGCAAACAAGTAAGAAAATCTACTACATTTGGGTGACCCAGTGATGTAAAAAAGCAACAGTCACATGAATTGAAAGCATCACATACAACTGAAGGTGAATCTTTGAAGGCAGTAACAGCGAACTCAGTGGATTCATCAGCGAAAAAAGATTGCGCAGATGATGTGCAGCCTGGGGACAAGTAGATGTTCATAACATGAATAAATTTGTATTTAATCAGGTGTTTTGGACGACATCTTTAAGTTAGGGTTTCGATAAAGTCATTTGAAAACTTGAAATATGCAAAAGTAGATCAACAACAGTTCATAATTACAAACCTACCTACACCCAATCTCTAACCTTTCGGGAAAATTTGACCAATTTTGAAGACATTGTAGAGTTTTTGAGAAATTTCTGTAAAAATTTCCTGAATCTTAAAAATTTCCTCAAAATTTTCACATAATTCCCCCTAAATTTCCCAGGAGTTTTGTTAAACTTAAGTAAAATCGGTCTGTATTTACCAATAAAACTCTAAACGTTTGCACGATTTCTGGTAGATTTCGCGTTTTTTCTCAATATTCCTCCAAAACTTTCGGCTACGCCTCAAAATTTCCCATATCTTCCCCCATAATCTTATCATACTTTGAGAAAATCCGTCTAGATTTATTTATGAAACCGCCAAATTTTGCGCTTTTTTTCAGTGAAATAATCCAAAATATCTCGTTTAAACTCAATAATTTTCCAGATTTTTCGAAAGATATCACGAAAAAGCCTGGCTGTAATAACTACCTAAACCTTTCTACTCAAGTGTTTCATTTTTTCTGTCATTTATGCACTGCGTTGTTTCATACTGTACTTTTCTGCAACTTGTGCGGCGAAAGTTCGTAAACTTTTCATAAACGCGCCTGCATGGGTTATGCGAATAACAGACATAGTTAATCGTTAAAACAAAATAAAAATATAGATAGCTCGTTCAAGAGATTAGATGGCAGAAATAGGTAGCCCAGACATTCAAGCAGGCCACCCTTGCAACTATGGATTTACGTGTAACTAAAGAGACAAGCCTGTTGGAATTTTGAAGCGTAGAAGATCTACTAAGCATCCTGGACGTGCATCAATGTGATGAAAGATGACATTGGGAACAGGGAGTCGGTTTAACCACGCATAATAAAAAGATCTTCGCAAAATATGAAACAACACATTTAAAAAAAACATTCATATCTTTCTTAAATTGTCTCTTTCAAACTCCATATGCTTTCCATTCCAGTTAATATGTTAGTTGTTTATTCTTTTACCTTCCTTTCTCTGCATTCTACATTGTTTGTCAGTAGGCGTTCTACTTTCACTTACCGATACATACTTAGTATACACCTATCTAAAATCTTATGGCTGAAAGGAAATTAACTCATCTCAAGTACAGTTGCAGCCTGTAGTGTTAGTCATTAGTTTTAGCCCATAATATATCTTATTCTAGTTTTCGGACATTCCATTCTATTCATTTTACTTGAGTCATATGTTGACCTTGTTAATTATTTGCTTGTCAGTCTTGATTGTTTTTATATGAGCGTATATGTGTGTACACTTCATGTCCCATGACGCATCAAATGTCTGTACTTTATTTTGTCTGCCTATAAATATTGAGTAATGCCTGAGTTGAAATGGAGTTGGCTTCCCAGCCATCTTCCCTACGCGTCATTTTGCTCTGTTCTATTGCATGCACTTTACATACAAAATATATGTATTCAAAGGCCATTCTCGTTAATTGACTTATCTAGATTCTGTTATTGATTAACGTGATTTAAGTCGACGATGATATACGAGAAAAGGCGATAGCAAACATTTATACAATCTAAATCGGAGTCAGATTCAGTGGGCCACTAAAAGCCATGCAATCTCTTTTTATGTATTTGTCATCTTCTTAGATTTATTCATCTTTACATATTTTAATAATTAGGGTCATGAGTCGATTGAAACTAGATCACCATAGAAAATCTGGAAACACTAGAAGGCCGTTTCAAACTATTGTGGGACTCGTCCTTGGCAGTACACATCCACGATCCAGTCCTGCGGGAATCGAACCAAGGACCTACACATTTCTTCATTCTAATCAATATTCAGTGATTACTCAATCGTTTATTCAGTTCATTAACCTTACACAATCTCCTTGATTTTGAATACGATTACTGTTAACTGGAATGACCACTCTACTCTGAATTATCACTTTTCAACATGTTTTCACTATGTTTATTCACATGCGTTGTGTCCTACAATTCTTGATATGATGAGTTCGGTTGCGTTCTGTTACAATATAGAATTCTCAGTACACAGTATTTCTACAAGTTTCCATTCCCCATTTCTAGATCTATCTTAACGAGTCAGTGATCACCAGCTGAATGTTGGTAGTTCAAGAATATGCATTCAATTAATGTCCATTCTTATTAAATGCTTATTGTAGGCCATCCACTACGATGTCGCTGGATGCACTTTGTACAGAGAAAGTTCATGAACTTGTCAGAAACGCACCTGAGTAGGTTGCGTGATTTATCGACATAATGATGTGTTAAAACAATCAAAATCAAATAACTTGACGAAATATGTCGATGTCGGAAACAGGTATTCCAGATATTCGAACAGGCTGTCAAACCATGAAGTTTTTACTATGCTAATCATTATCAAGGAATCTTCATTTACGGAATGATAATATTTGATCTATTTGTTCTATTCACTAGACAACCACTGTATAAAACAAGTGGTCATCTATATTTTCATTCTTATGAATACGATTTTATACAGGGTTCATCATAAATGAAGAGATTTAATATGAATACAGTTTTTCTCTGCATCGTCTGGAAATAATTCACATCGCAGTTTTAATTCAACATAACGGCATTGCACTCCATACAAGAATTGGCAATATCGACTAATGCATTCAAAGTGAATTATCGTACAATGATGCTCACCAGGTAGGAGGTAGGAGATTAAATGGGTCAAATAAAACAATCGCAATCACAGTCACTATATACTAATCACTATAAATTTCAACACATATTTATTCAAACATCTTGCATGACACAATTCAATTCAGATACTATTCAGTGAGAACCTTAATCGTCGGTTAAACTGCAACTTTCCTCTATACTAATTATAAACATTAAGTCCATGTTTAACCTAAAAGAAGATTACACTTCTATGCGAATAAAACCATATAGAGTGTTTATTGAATAATTTACAAACACGGGACAATGTTAACATCAAAATATTTCTGTATTTTTTAAGGAATACTAGTAATATAACATACGAAATGAGGTTCTGTTGTAGTCAACGATTGTCATATTCTAGAAGATGAATCTTCTTGAATGACCATGGATCAGTCCAATCACTACCATACAGATTGATGAAATGGTTATCCAAGACAGTCTCATGGAGTCTAAATTGTTCGAGAAAAATAAAACAAGTTTAGGTAAATGATGAATTCAAAACAAACATTTTGATTAATTAAAGTACAATTGGTTAGATGAATGTCTTTGTTTATGGATATGTTTACTATATTTGAATGATCAACTACTAATCTACTGATGGGTTTGTATAAATTCAAAGTGTTCGCAAAATTTATTTCCAACCACAGAATTATGTAATGGATTGAAGAGACGAAGTGAATGATCAATTGAATAATTTCTGACATAATCACTTACTGGCTGAACCCGTAGCTGTGGATAGAATTGTATGAAGAACAGGGAGAGTTTATATATATATAATTCATGCTTTGGAAACGTTTCATGAAACTTCAGATTATATAAAATGTGTAATGATCCATATGTATGAAGTGTGCATTATCCTGTGGGCTGTTAGTCTGGAAATGAAACACATACTCTTTGTCATATTTGACAATCGTCTGTTGGATATACGTAGTTGATGATGTTGGTATTTACACACTAGGATTCGAACGCAGTATCTTTCACTTTAAATGCCAGAGAGTTGTATGTTCACTGTTCTACTCAGTTCAGTTAGTCAATTACTTGTTTAGAAAGTGTCATGTTAATGTTACATTTCACCGAAGGTGTGAATTATTCAGTTTGTTCTATTGATTGATTTGTGCATAGATTCTTTAATTAAGAATGCATTTTGCACACACACACACACAAGTACTCAGCCAACCGTTCCATCAATGAAGATAGATTATTCTGAAATAACTTGTTCATCTAGCAGAGGGGAATTCACAGGATCCTCATTCGTATAATAGTTGAAATACTTGCTTTATGATGTTCTGACTACAAACAACACAAGATCTCTTCACTCAAAACTCTTTATTAATAACTCCATTACTGACTAACAAAACAGAACGTCAACAATTCGCATAGGTATAAATTGTAAGGTAGCAAAACTTACGCGTTGTTGAGGCTGTAATTAAAATAGACTTTCGCTTTTTACTCTGACAATCATAAATAGATGTTGGGTGATTATGTAATTTATTCAAAACTGTGATAAATACAGATTTCACATTAAATGCATCATGAACGAGTGGACAAATCGTTGACAAGATCTGCATAACTCCACATTATTCCAGAATATAATTCATTTCAGATGTCCACTTATCTTGGAAAACCTTGATGATTGGTAGTCACAGGAACTTCATCTATATCAGTAATCTTCTCGGTTTACAATCTTAAATGTGGTATTATCAAACAAAGAAAATTCGAATCTAGTTAACAGTGAATGTGTTTTTACAACTTACACATATATGCTTCGTTAGTACGTTCTGTTTCTTAAGATGATGTTTTACTGATACCTCATTACATCTTCAGATATCTATTGACAAGGACGAACGGATTATTCTAGGCACAACACATGCCCATGACTCGCATCCAATTGAATCCAAACGACTGATAAATCAGTCATGTAGGAATCTCAGCTAATCTTAATATATTATCAATATAATTGCATAAATAATCAGTTATAAAACACATTCACATTACAACTCACTTGTAGCTGAAACACAATTTCAATTATCATGTTTATTAGTAGCTAATCCAACAATGATCAAAGGTTATGTGAGAGAGAACTACAAAGTGCCATTCTTGAAGAATTGTCAATCGCAATGTATGTTTCATTATGAAGTCAAATATGGATATATGTGAGTTAGAATGTTTTCTGTGATAGAAATATATGTGGATTAGGAATTGATGAGTTCCTTCTATGTCTCTGAAGATCATACGGATCAATTATCGATAGACATTTATCAATCTAGACAATCATGATTGTTTTTTAGAGTGATCCTTGTTTAAGTAAGGAAGACTGTAAAATGAATTATAAGTGGGTCAAGTTGATGTCTTCAAGAAGATACGAAACTAGATTATCTGATTACACGGTTAGACACTATTCAACTTTACTACAATTTGAATTCAAATGACAGTATAAAGGTGATTTATTGAAGAAATAAATAGGAAGCAAATGTCGATCAATCTTACTAGTTTCTTCTTCCCCGAAACCAGAACCTGAATGTTAGAAAAGAGAAGTATTCACAATTACAATAACCGTCATTATTATTCTCCTTCAATGTATTTACATTAACAATAAAACATTCATATTATTCGTTAGATGATACATAATTACCTGTTACATCATGTACAATTGTCAGTAATACAATTGTACTCATAAACGTTACTAGACATTGATGATAATGCATGATTGTTGTGTATATGAATCTCTTAACTTCGAATAGATAATTCGTTAGTAGTTTCAAATGGTCGTTCATTTACTTTTTATAATGAAGAAGAAGGATATTCCAATTGTTTACTTTTGTTATGTAATCTTTATGTAAATAAAATAAAGGAGAAGAGTAAAAAATAGCGATTGCATTATGAAATAATGAGAACAACTGTAAAACTGATTAATTAAATTTACATTAGATGTAGAAAGTAAATTTCCAACAGGAGTAATTCTATGATATTCTCTGGACCGTCGAGCACACAGTCTTGGTTTAGCTAGTCAGAACATATAAGCTACTTGGCTTGATAAACCTGATCTGTTTCTAAAACATAAATTAACACTGTTACTATACAAATAAACAGTACAGTCTATTAAACAGAGAAAAGAAGAGACATAAATAACATACGTAACAGTAACTAGAGGATAGGGAATATTAGTCAACGAAGCCAATAATGTTTTTTAATGAACATAAAATTGTGATTTTTCAATAGACAGGGCATAGTTATACAAGGTAAAAGAAAATTAATGTGGTGGTAGGCGTTTTATATTATCATTGTTGAGATGGATAGTAGCTGTCAGTGGAATCCAGGACGCGTGTTCCGCCCTATTTAGGACTCGTCAGCTGGATGTACCTGTATCCCAGAGTTGATGTTCACTCCTCTTTGTTTAAAAAAACTTGTGACTTAAGGCTATATCCAGGCAATCCTCATAGGATGCACATATGCCAACATGAGACTGATCAATTGCAGTCCTAAATAACAATGGGAAGATACAAGTAAAACAACATCAAGTGAATTTATCATTGGTGGATTTGATTATCGATCACACTTTGCATTAGATGACCCATTAATTAATATCAGAAGGGAATTTTGTGGATATTATTCTGATGTTTACACATCTCATTAGTTGAGATCATGAGTCAATTGAAGCAAGACTACCATGGAAAACCTGGCAGCGCTAGATGGCCGTTTCATCCCATTGTCGGACTCCTCGTTGGCAGTACGCATCCACGATCTCGCCTGGCAACATTCAAAACCAGAATCAATCAGTCTCCCGCGCGAAGGCTTAACCTCTAGACCACGAAATTCAGCCACCATCAACCAATGTCTTCAGTGAGTTACTATCTCACAACAAACTCGATTCAACTCCACTGGTCACTGCTTCTCACTAGAGCTTCAGGAAATACCTCTTGAAGCTAGTCACTAGTGTGCACATAACAGAAGGGGTTTTTGTGGATATTATATTCTCACAATAGGACGAAATGTCCTTCCAGTGTTTTCAGCTTTCCTATGGTGGTCTAAATTCAACTGACTGAAGACCCATTAATTGTTTTCTCAAATTTTAATATATATTACTTAATATAAAAAAAAAACAATTATTTTCAGGATAATGATTAATGAGCGGCCTATGCTCCTTCACGAGGAGTAACAGGCGTAAGTTAAGTTAAGTTAGTGATTAATGAGGGATTATTGATTATGATTGATATTATGTAGTGAACTAAGTTAGAAGTCTATTGAAAACTAGAAAGCACAATATAGATGTATGGAACACTTGATCGCTTCTTGTAGTGACACTCGAATATTTGATTCCAGATAGATCATATGTTTGATTGTTATGGAAATATACATATAGTCCATCCTTATGTAAACAAAACAGGCTACAGGTAACTACGGTTTACGAATGCGTTTTTTCGGGTCGTTCAATAGAAAGTTAACTTGAGACTAATTTTCATTACCAATTGATATCAGTTAGACAGACATTGAAAGACCAACAACACTTGATTGATTGTTCGTCACGATTCTGCACTTGTTAACAATTTGCCACCATGACGCAATATCGTATACAACCTAGGTTTTATAAGCATAAAATATAGGATACCATAGGGATAATGGGAAGGAATTTTGAACATCAAAACCACTGATCCGAAATCTAGTGTTTTATATGTTTAACTTAAATGGTAATGTAAAACCATGTTTAATTATCTTCAGTAGGTTACTTCATCACATATAACATGGTTGAACTTCACTAGTCACAGCTTTTAACTACAGTTCTAGAATGAAATCCGAAAGTCCATCAGTAAAGGTCAAGGTATAATTATTATTATTCAGGTGGTTTATGGAGATTTTCATATGTCATAAATAATATGAATAAACCTAAGTTATTTATAGGTATCATTACCAAGGTTTAATATGATAATTTCGAATAATCATTTAAGGTGTTGTGAAGATTGTTACGTTTTTGATTGAAATCACGAGTCGCTTGAAGCTACACCACCACGGGAAACCTGGAAGCACTGGACGGCTGTTTCGTCCTATTGTGGGACTCCTCAGTAGTGAGCACCCACGATCCCGTTAGCGAAACTCGAACTCAGGACCTATCATTCTCGCGCCAGGCGCTTAACCAACTAGACCACTTAGCCGGCATCCAACGGTGTTATTGTCTAACCTCAACCAATCCACGAAATTGCGCGACCATCTTCCATTGTACTGAGATAGACACCTGTTTCTACCCGAAACGAATTAGCTCCACTGGTCATGATTTCTCACCAGAACTCCGAGAATTTTCTCACGAAGCTAGTCACTAGTGAGAACATGGTAATTATCAGTTTAGGTGTTGTGGAGATTGTTGGCATTGTAGGCCCTGTGTTCCAATCTCGCGGGGTGCGGGATCGTGAATGCGCACCGCTGAGGAGTCCCATACTAGGACGAAACGGCCGTCCAG